ATTGATACAAAGTGGAAAATCCACGTCACAATAAAGACGTAGATGAAAGTCAGAAGACATTACTTTCAGCTGCAGAGATCAGAGTTGGACTCACGAAGAATGGGTATTTAAATCTTGAGATGGCCCGGCTGGGCGTGGCTCAGCGCTTGAGCATCGACCTGGGATCCAGGAGATCAGGGTTCGATTCCCGGTCAGGACACATACCCAGGTTGCGGGCTCAATCAATGACTCTCTCATCATTAACGTTTCTATCTCTGTCTCTCCCTCTCCTTTCCTCTCTCTGAAATCAATAAAGATATATTAAAAAAAATAAAATAAATCTTGAGATGAAGAAAAATGATATTTCATGTAGAGTAAACAGCACAGTAGTCGTTCCATGGGTTTATTTTTAACTTGGTAAAGGAAATTCTAAAACTTGCAAGAAAAATTCTTTGTTAAAACAACTAAACCACAGAAATCTTAAGAAGATGGCGTTGCTTTGATGACAGTGACCTTGTGTGGCGCTGTATGTCTTCGCCTATCTAGAGACATTTTGCTAAGCCAGGGACCTTGCTTTCATCATTTAACACATCATTCAAACCACTTCAATGAAACAGTGATCATGCTGAAGAGGGGTCTCAGAGGACTAGATGACACTCCAATTAACCAAGCACTTCGAGCCGGATTGTTCTATTTCTTGGACTCCAGAGACCAGCAGAGAGAGGAGGCAAACAAAGGAAAAAAGAGCGAGGACCCAAGTGAAAAGAGCAAAATGCATGTGCTAAAGACGGGGCTTTCAGTGTGACTCCTGCAGAAAAACCTGCCAGGANGACGGGGCTTTCAGTGTGACTCCTGCAGAAAAGCCTGCCAGGAGATATTCACCACCAGTCTTACAGGACTTGTAATAACCCACCAGAGAGGACGACAAAGCAGAGCGTGGACTGGCAGGGCATACTCAGTGAGAACGAGGACATTACAGGACTGGCCGGGCACCTCTGTAAATGTATATGCGTCTTCCCGGGTGCTGCAGGTGCAAGGCTAGAGAAGGGTGTATGTTGACTTATTTTTTTGATCCAAGAAGCGCCAATTAAAAATCCAGCTTTTGCAAATATGACTGTTTTTCTCCCACCTACAGATTTGTGTTGTGACTCAAATGACATGAAAATATACATAGAGAAACTAATTAGTGAACAATAACAGTGGGACTCTCTCCATGAGGAGAGAGAAGCAATGAGCTGCCCGTGAAATTAAAAAATTGTGCCCTAAAATGTTTTAGGTACTCCCAACCCTTAAGGATTAAATAAAATCATCAAACCTGGTAAAACAAAGTCCTCAGCATGTACCAAACTCATTTTCATTTTAAAGTTTAGCTCTGAAATCTTGAATAGCAACCAGCAGGGGGAACAGACCCAGTCAACTGAATCATCCGAGCTTTCTAGGTGAGTCGAAGAACTATTCTGGGGGTAGGATTAATCCTCCCAGTTTGTCCTAGTTCAGGAATCTTGAACCCTTTCTAGTGGGTCTTGCTGCTTCTTTCTTTTGCATTTTCCTCACCAATTCCTGTCACAAAGGTTCAAGGAACAGGTGCAAATCCACCCGCGTTCTTTACCCCGGTACCAAGTGAGCCCACCAAACCCCATTTACGGCAATGACCTTTGTTTGGTTCCATAACTAATCCACCCAAGGAGAACTACAACACATTTAAAGATGAGTTGAAAACCATAAACCAAAAACACAGAAAGGGCCCAAATTCATACCAGCTAGTAAAACTGCCATGCTCTAGTCAAGCTGAATCATCCCATTTTTCCCTTCTTAAGGGTAATTTCTGTCTTTATATTACTTCTGCCAACTTCGTATACTGCATACAGCTGACAAGATTCTGGAAGAGACCCACTGTATCCCTCGAACAGAGGGGATACTGAGCTGAGGACACGGGGGCAGTTCGGTCCCGAGATAAAAGATAGTCTGATATTAAAGATTCTTTGCTTAAGGCACCAATGTACCTGTCTATGGCTTTTTAAATGGCACATTTTGGCAGCATGTAGCATCATCTTTTATGAAAGAGTGTGGCGAAAGGCCTTGTTATGACTCCCCATGGGGACAGTGACAGCACATTAACAAGGGAAGGGGCAGGATGAGGCAGGCGAGCAGGGGTGAACCTCGTTATGTCAGGAGTTTAAAACCTTCTGATTCCTGCATCACCAAACCTCAGGGATGGGTCAAGAGCTTATGGAATTGCGGGGGTTGGGGGGGGTGGTAGGGGGAGGGAGAAAACTAGTTCCCATTTTGCCTCTGTCTGGTTCTTGTTTAATTTCAGGGAAATTCCTTTGCTCAGTCTCCTGTGTTTTTATCCCGTTTGTTTCTTTACCCCTACCCCAGGAGGAATGAACTGACTGACTCAAAGCCCTTGGAAGAAGGTATCTATACAGAGGAGTGGAACAGCCTACCTGACACCTGCCTATTTTGACAAGTGAGCTCTGCCTAAGGGCTTAGAGATCCACCTCAGAGTGCACTGGGGTGGGCAGGGTCTCCTCCAGTTCTCCCCTCTTTATAAGCCAGTGTCAGACTCACTCCAAGACCAACCCAGCTTGGCTGTCAACTCCTTTGAGAACCGCCTCACCGCCTACCCTCTGTGACTCAGGGTCCCTCATAAACATGTTCCCGAGGACCTCATCACACTGCTCTGGGTGTTAGGTGGCTGTCTTCTCTATCAGAGGCAGGCTTCTGTCAGCTTTGCATGCCCCACTCTCCAAGGCCTTGCACACGATTAGTGCTAAAATAATAATTATTGAATGAATGAGTTTCTATTCTTCAGAGCCCGAACACAGAAAGGAAACCTTGTTTTGAAAAGTGAGGATAAACAGAAGAGAAGCGAAGATTCTTAGAAGAGGTTAACTATGTTTCTGAACACAATCTGTCACTCAGAATTTTAAAATGCTGTTGAGATTCACACTTCTATCTGTAGTGATTTTAAACAAGATTTATCATGTCTATTCCAAGTGTACTGTGGTGAAAGCAGAATCTTGACCTTCAAGTGCTTCTTTTGGATTAACTTCCCAAATTCTTCAGGTCATGCTCTCATCTCATCTGCCCCTAAAGAACCTTGGAGTTCTCTTCATCAGTGGACTGTCCGCAATTACTCATATATGGACTCAAAACCTCCTACTCCCTTTAACTATCACATATTTTTCATTACCTTGTACCCTGAATAAATTTGGCATAAAAAAAACAGGACTTATCACCACTGAAAAATTATATATTTAGTTATCATTCTGTTTTCTTTCTCCTTGCACCTCACCCCTCACCAAATGTAACCCCATGAGAGTCGAGACTGGAGTGTCCTTTCACCACTACATCCCTATTGCCTATTAGCAGGCATAGCAGGACCTCAATATGTGAATGAAACAATAAATGTGGAAGGAATGAATGGGCAATATTTATGAATGCTCTATATCTAAAAGCTATTAGTTATGCTCTCTCACAGCATTGTTGTGCCTCTGCAAATTATGCCATGTTAGGGTACACAAACACTAAGTCATACAACCCTAGAGTTGCTGCAGCAAGTTAAAGAGAGACAACAGCAGACTGTTCAGAGTCATCAAATGTTAGTTTGGAAAGGGGCTTAGAGATCATTATAGATGAAGAAGCTGAGGTCCAAAGTGAGGCTCGCACAAGCCACCTAGAAAACCAGTAGCAAAGCTAGAACTGCAATCTAGGTCTTTCATACTCAATCTAGGATTCTTATCTCTACACCACACAATTCACAAATGTTCTACATGCTATCTGGTCATTTATTGAATACACTCAATGACAATAACTTAAAGAGAAATTATATAACAGCAAGGCCTGAACCCCACAAATCAAAAGCACTAGTTTCTCTCCTGAAACAGGCGAATTTAACAATCCCTTCAGGATTCTGTTGGGAGATGCAGTTTTGAGCGCCTGTCCACCATTATGGCTAACCAATAAGCTGATGCACACACAGTGAATTTCCAATTAGATTACCTTTTATGAAGAAGCAGAAGAATACGGTTTAATAAACACTGAATACTCCATTTTTGCTTTCTTTCCATAGTGCAGGTGAATTGAGTCTGAAGATGCTTCCTTAGAAATTGAGTTGCATTCATGCATTACAAAAATCACAGAAAAATTACTTCACCAAAAAAAGGTGATAAAAGCATGAATGCAACTCTATCCATGATCTTACTTAAGGAGTCCTTTATACTTTAAGAAAAGCCCTCCTTTATCTGAATCCGTGTATGTGAGAAACAATTTTTGAAACAAGAGTATCTAGATGTTCTAATATAAATCCTATGCATTTCCTTATAGGTCAAGTGTCATGGTAGAAAAACCTTAGCACAGAGTTCTAGTGGGGCTACAGGTAGCCCACTAAGATAAAGTCCATTCTAAATATAGCTATAAAGAGAAAACACATTAAATGTGTTAAATACATACCCCTTATCCTCCCCCAGACCACATTATACCCAGACCCCCAATATGTGATATGACTACATTGGAACAGGTGGCTTTTTTCTTTCTAAACAAACTTATAGAACTTGTACATCCAAATGAGTCGGGCTGTGCTCTTTAAAGTAATCACCTTTGGAAGTTATACGTGCATTCTATGCAGGCTACCATCACACAGGATTTTCCTGAACTCTCTCTTTTAGAACGCAGGTTCTCCAGATTTGCGTGTAGAAGGATCACCCAGGGAATATGTTAATCATGCACACTCTTAGAGATATGGACTTAATTGGTCTTGGATGGAGTTTGGGAAGCTGTATTTTTAAGCATTCTAGGTTAACTTTTATATAGGTGATCTCTGAAAAACAGCACTTTAGAATAGTTGGTTCACAAGCCATGCAAAGCTATCAAAATAATGACTTTAAATGCTGTGTACACAGACGTATACATAACACACTGGAGATTTTTATTTTCAAAATCTTCATTCTTCCAGATATAATATATTACTACAGATACATCTATTTATAAGAAACATCTATTTATAAGAAACAACATACCTCCATGAATGAGATTCCTAAGCTCCAGACATCAGAATGGATTCCATACTGCTCCCCTGAAATTCTTTCAGGCTGTAAGAAAACAGAAGGGAGCTTGTGAGCTGATGTAAGCTACTCCAGGAATCATATACACTAACACCAGCTCAGCTAAGGCAGGGAGGGAGCAACTTTTGCATAGCACTTTATGAAGAAAAAAGCAATTTTTATATGCATGTGTGTATTATGTAGATAACATATGGAAATTATATAGATTATATATAATTACAATCTCATTGAATCCTCACAAAATAGTCCCTGTGAGGAAAACTTCATCTCTATTTTACAGGTGAAGAAAATGCAGATCCAGATGAGTGAAACCATTTAGGTAAAGTCCTAAGTTGCATTCCACATATGAGTGAGATCATGTGGTACTTCTCTTTCTCTGACTGGATTATTTTGCTTCACATAATACTCTCCAGTTCCCTCCATGCTGTCCTAAAGGGTAAGAGATCCTTCTTTTTCACAGTTGCATACTATTCAATGGTGTAAATGTACCACAGCTTTTTTATCCACTCCTCTACTGATGGGCACTTGGGCTGCTTAAAATAGATCCAGAGACATAGAAGCATGGAACAGACTGAGGGATCTGTGGGGAGAGATTAATCAAAGAACCTATATGTTTATATGCATAACCCATGGACACAGACATTGGTATGGGGAAGGCCTGGGGGTAGGGTGGATGCAGGGTGGAAGGGGTCAATGGGGGGAAAAAGGGGACATCTGTAATACTTTCAACAATAAAGATAAATTAAAAAAAAAAGTTAATCTGTTTATGAGTTAAAAAACAAACAAACAAACAAAACAAAGTCCTAAGGTGCGTGCGAAATAAACTGAGACTTGAACCCAGGTCCTCTCCCTCCAAATCTAGTGGGCTTAGTCGTGGAGTGACAAATTGCACATTATATGTTATCAATTATTTGCATTTTGAGAGATGGGTCAGGACCACTAGAAATTCTTTCATTTAAAATTTTTTATAATTTTGTTTGGAAGTACTTTCAAACTTCAGGAAAGTTGAACGCTTAAGATGAGTACAAAGATCACTCAAATTTCCTTTGCCCAGATTCACCTATTCAACATTTTATTCTATGTATCAGGGTTTCTGTTGATATGAACGAAGGAACAGTTTGAAAGGTCCACCTTGGACTATAGGTCCTCCATTCAAGATGTGTACCAAATGCCTGGTTTAGAAAGCCAGTACATGCACAGACTCTACTTCAAAAGAATGAGTTCATACTGAAGTGGGTGCTGCCTGCCTGGTCTCTGTGTGTGTCCAGGATTTGGCATTCAGTCAGGTACTTCAGAGGTCTTTTGAATGAACAGAGGAACAAATGAGTAAGTCTCACAGAGGAGGAATGGTTGCTGAAGGTTCCAGAGCTAAGGAGGGCAGGGCTAGGATCACACCCATGTATCTTAGCCCCCAAGACAGCATCACATTCTCTGTACCATCCCTGCAGTTTCAGGCAGCCACCAGTCATCCTTCAAGAGATCCCTACAAGTTCTTAAGAGTAACTGCAGTCAGGGTCAGCCTGGCCCACTGAATTTGGAGGAAGTGGGCACCCACCACTCACCAGCAAGAGATACACCAGGATGACGTGGGCCAGTGCTCTGAGATGTGTTGGCACAGTCCTACGTCTTGAGGAACTGGCTTAGCAGGGACCCAGAACTTTGTAACTGCCTTCCCACTCTCACCTACCAGGCTACCTCAATGCACTCACTGCCTTCTCCGGGGACCAGTTTCCATAAAATTACATAAAGCCCTGCCCTGAGGTAGTAAGATGGATTGTCTTATTTCCCTTCCTTTATTTATTTCTTTAATTTGTAAAACCCCCTTCCTACCAAGAATAATTCTTCCCAAGGGCCAAGTATCATGTGACCATTTCTCCCAGCTGCTAATAGACATGGTCATTCCAATCCCCTAATACTTTTTCTTTTATGTTCTAATCCCCCACACCATCATTTCTCAAGTTTCCTGTTCATACATGAATGAGCCCACTATCCAATTCTTGCTAGTTCAATAGGTACTAGGATGTATTCATATGGAACTGGCCAGCTAGTTACAGGAGTAATACCACTATCTTCATCATCATCATCAACATCAACAGTATCATTGTGCATTTATTAAAGAATTTCCATGTGCCAGGCAGTGTTTTAAGTGCTTTTCATACATGCCTTATTTCAGATTCATAAATACCCATATTGGATTGGTACTATTATCATCCCCATTTAACAGGTGAGAAAAGTGGGGCACAGAGTAGTTTAGTTTGCAGCCACTATATAAGGATAGTAATAGCTATCATTTAATTACCACCTAGTATGTGCCAGACACTGAGCTAAACACTTTGCATACTCTATACTTCATAACAATTTGTAAAGATAGATATATTGCCCTTATTTTACAAAAGTGAAAACTAAGGCTTAGTAAGATTAAGTGACTTGCCAAGGTCTAGAGCTATGGATTAGCATTAAGTGTATTGTTCAGGAATACAGCCAGAATTCAAACCCAGGGATGTTCTTTCCAGTGTGTCAAACAGCTCCCAGAACTAGGAGTCAGAAAAGCCACACACTAGCCTGATCTAGTCGGTATCTCTCAGAATGCAGTCTTCAGACCAGCCATCACAGAAATGCCCGAGGTGCTTATTACAAATGAACCTTCCGAATCTGAATCTCTGGGGTGGCTCTGGGGATCTTCATTTCACAAAATAATTTCTCTGGGTGATTCTTTGGTACACTCAGCTGCAGTCACTAAATATTTTCATGTTCCCTGCAGAGGCAATGACCTAGCTTCCTCTTCTCTGCTTAGTAAATGTTTCTCTTACAGGCTCTATTCAAGGGCCACCTTTTTTTGGTGAAAACTTCCTCTGCTCCTCAGGGAGGATTACAAATTCCTGCCTCTGTACTTCATTAAACAGTTGTTTATAACTTTAATACTAATCTGTTGCACTGTGTTGTAACCATCCATTTGCTAGTCTGTTTCTCTTAAGAGGCAAAGAGAGTGTCGTATTCACCTCATATCTAGTATCACGCCTGGCACACAGCTGGTGCGCAACCAACGTGTTCTGACCGAAGGCATGCGATACATGCTCACGGCACATTTGGTTTTAGGCATGAACTAATTATTACGCTCCCTGGAGGGTTCTGCTAACATAACTTCCCCACATATTGCCATTCATGGCCATCAAGAACTTGTAGCAAAACAGGAAAATCCTAAAATCCTATAGAATTGTTAAAGAAATAACCAAATACTGCCTTCCTCCTGTTTCTTCTTCCTCTCCTTCCTTCGTTCCACTAGTAAACAGTTATCAACATATAGTACTTCATGCAGAGTACCGACAAAGCAAATAAAAGTGAAACCCACATACAAAATATTTTGGCAGGACCAAAAAGAATATTAAATACATTCATAATATTTGCCCATTGAACTGCCAAACAAATGCAAACTGCTGGCTGAAAATAAAGCATAGAAAAATTATATTAAAAAAGAAAATCTAGGACCTGGCTGGTGTGGTTCAGTTGGTTGGAGTGTCGTCTGTGCACCAAAAGGTTGTGGGTCTGATTCCCTGTCAGGGCACATACCTAGGCTGCAGGTTCAATCCCTGGTCAGTGTGCATGTGGGAGGCAACTGATGGATGTTTCTCTCTCCCATTGATGTTTCTCTCTCTCTCTTTCTCTTTCTCTCCCTTCCTCTCTCTCAAATCAATAAAAACATATCCTCAGGTGAGGGTTGAAAAAAAAAAAGAAAAAATAGAAAAAGTGATAATGGTCACAGATATCAGGTGGCAAATAAGAGAACTCTTTAAGGATAAGATTCTGACAACTTCTCATTGGAGACATTATTCTTACAATAAGCTAACAAAACAAGATTACCGTTAAGTATGAATGATCAGCACAATCAGCTCTTCGGGTCTATCCTAGAGAATTCGTAGAGTGGATAGGGACTGGGCAATGCACCAAGGTTCCTAAAACTGACACAGGCACAAGATAAGCCCTAATATGTTCTGGATTTATGAAGCCAGGACTTGATGGCCTGAGGCTGGAAAATTCAAAGCTGTTCTCATACTTGAAGCCAAGGTGGCCTGCTCTGTCCTCTCCCCTTTAAAGCAAAACAAACCCAACCGCCAGGTACCACACTACTGATAAAAGAGCTGTGATGGACATTTTGTAGTTAAAAAGCCAAAGCTGGGTTATGTTCTGACATGACAGCTGTCACCACTGTGGATAGCTAAGTAATAGGAAAAACACAACTCTCATCTGAACTGCCTTTGTACTGAAGTTTAAGTGCAGGGGTGAAAAAATCCTGGTTCATTCTTACTAATAACAGTAAGGAATGGTAGTGAGGTTAAAAGCAGAGTTTATAGAGGATCTTAAAGGGCAGTGGCTCCAAGCTGGTAGGCATACTCCACTCCTTCCAGCTACCCTCTGTGACTTGGCATTTATCCATGACCCATATTTAGTTAATTCCTTCCAGAATTGTCTCTACAACACAATACCCTAGGGTTTACTTGCCAAAAGCAGGAAGATACCAAGGTACAATACCATAGACTGGCACGAATTTGCACCCTGGGTATTTGTATGTGTGGCCTGAGTTGGAAAAGAAGCTTCATGCTTAGAACTTGGTTTGAGGTGGGCACACCTGTCTTAGGCCTCTGAGAACCTCTTCAGTATTTTTTTTCCAAAAGCAAACCCTAGCAATTAGTCAAAGAACAGGCACACAAGGGAAGAAAGCAACATGAAGAAGAAACAGCAGGAGCAGCAGGCAGCAGAAACAGCTACACAGACTTCAGATCACAAATTAAAAGTGACATCGTAGATTTGAGAAAGCTCCAAACAAAACAATTAGATTAAAATTTAAAACTTACTGTTAGGTAGCACATTAGACATAGCAGAAGAGAGAATTAGTGAACTGAAAGACAGATTGAGTGAGAGCAGTCTAACTTTTTTAACCAGTGTGCCCTGCCACCCACACAGGGATCTTGTCAACTTAAAAAAAAAAAAAATCCCCATAGTTTGATACATATTTTGATTACATTCTAACCTTAAGTATTTGTGCATACTTTCTTAATTTTCTGAGTAGCCTAACAGAACAGAAATTCCTGTATCAGAAGTCTATGGCCACAACTTTCTCCCTTTTCCTTTTTCTGCTCTGACATTCTGCTTTCTCCTCTTGCGGGATTCCATCTGAAAATTGTCCTCAGAGTTCCCCATCATCTTTTTAGCTCTTCAGTACATTTGAGATGGCTTAAAAATTATTTTAACTAGCATTTCCAGCAGAAGAGTTGGTCCAAATAACCAAACCAGCTAATACCAGAAACTAGACGCTGGTATCCTCATTAAATCTTGACTCGCATTACTTGCCAACTCAGATCCTGGGCTGGTTAAAGTTACTTCGCCTTTAGTTTCCTCATCCTCAAAATGAGCCATAATAATAAGTATACCTCATGGGGTTGTGTGAAGATTAAATGACTCCATGTGATGTGCCTGATTCAGTTCTTGTCACGTGGGAATGCTCAGTAAATGTTAGCCTCCTTCCAATAATCACCACTGCCATTACCACCATGGCATGAGCATGGCCAATTGAGCTGGATTGTGTAATGTGTATAGGTTTTATTTGGGTAAAGATAATTTCTAAGGATAGGAATAGCCTGGGTAGAAAAATGTTCAGGAGATTAAAAAAGTCATTTAGATTGACTTTCTGATACAAAGGAACAAGTATTTGGGTAAGACTTCCCCCCCAAAACTTCAGTTATTCATAAAAACAATGTCAAACTTTCATGTGATTTAAAAATTACAATAAGCAAATCATAGTGACTGAACAGTGGGTTGAAGTTTTAGGGACTTCTATCTTTAAAACAGAGCCACATTTTTAGTAATCAGAATTCATAAGAAATGGTTTAATTTAATATAAGCCACCAAAGCCTTCTGGATCCCTTTTGTAATCCTTCTGAATGAAATCCTTTCAAAATGTAGTTGAAAATCTTTCTTACTTTGGATTAAAATGTCTGTGGAACCTAATCGTCGGCCTCTTAAAATGTAACGTGTCCTTGAACACACTTCACTCTCCAGGACTCAGTCTCACCAGTCAATGGAGAGGTTGTATCAGATGACTTTTCAAGTCTCCTACATAGTCCACTGCTTAATATGCCCACAATTTGTTACTGTGTTTTTTAAAATGCCTTAGGATCTTAGAAGAGCCTCCCTGTCTTTTTCCTAAGTATCATTTTCCTGTACCTTACACTTCAGGCCATAGGAGAATGAAGTAAGACTGTTCACACATGCAAGACTATTTATTTATTTTCTTTTCAATATTTGAGCAGCCTAGCTAAGTGTATCTGAGTAATTTGGGGGGTCATTATACTGTATAATGAAAGTAAGATACTTAATATAAAAAAATGGTCTGCTTATAATTAGTGAACAAGTCATATATGAAATACAGTTTTTACGAATTCATTCATTTAGCACTGTATGAGGGACTGAATATAATGAGCAGAATAAATCGTGCCCCTGTGAACTTCATATTCTAGATTTGGAGTAACACAAATAATTTAGATATATGGTGAGAGGCACAACAGTAAAGAATTTAGTCTCTAGAGTCTAATTGCTTAAGTCTGAATCCTGACTCTGCCACTTAATAGTTGGATGAAGTTGGGTAAGTCACTTAATTTCTCTATCCCTTGGTTTCTTCATATGTAAAATGAGAATATTACCTACATCATAGGGTTGTTGTGAGGATTTAAATAGTTAATATATGTAGGAGTTTATGAGTAACTGGCACATAGTTTAATTTTTAGCTATTGTTATTATCACTATAGAAGTATGTATGACTATAAGGTGAGGGCAATGGATATAAAATGCGGGTATTATATCAGATGACCTCTGATTATATATTCCCAGAATTTATTATCGTCCTTTACCTCTTCACCTTCTATTTCTGAGTCGCTGCTCATCTTTCCACAGGGATCCCTTTCTTCTTAGTGCCCTTTTCACAGACAGCTTGACTCATCACATTCTACACTGTATGCCTTCTTATTCTTTAAATGATGTTTGGTACAGCCTAAGTCTTTCTTATGTCACACATAATGTGGCCGTATATAATCCCGTGTTCCTGTTCTGCCCATGTCTTACGTGGATTACAGAGTGGTTCCACTGTACCTAACAGAACAGAAGGTGCTTAATAAATACTGGTTGATCAATTGAAGGTACTCAGTTTCAGATACAGTTTTCACTGGCATAGATCAGAGGTTGGCAAATTTTTTCTGTAAAGGGCCAGATACTAAGTATTTGTCACTCTGTGGGCCATATGGTCGCTGCTGCAACTGTCACAACTATCCCACTCTGCCACTGTAGTGCTAAAGCTGCCACAGACAGTATGTAAACAAGTGGGTATGACCATATTTCAATAAAACTTTCTTTTTTTACTTTGATTTTTAATTTAGAAACACTTACTGATTCATAAGAAGTTAAATATATAGCTAATAGAGGTTTTGTGCACCCTTCACCCAGTTCCCCCCAATGGTAGTATTATATATAATACAATATCATGGCCAGGAAATTGATGCTGGTACAGTTCACAGTTTATTCAGATTTCACTAGTCTTACATGTACTCATTTGTGTGTGTGTTTGCATAGTACTGTGTACCTTTAAAATCTTCTTTACAGAAACAGGCAATAAGCTGAATTTGGCCTGAGAGCTGTATGCAGTTCACTGACTTGGAAGAGATCCTCATGTAGAACTCAAAGTTACAAAATAGACCAGCTAAAATGAGAATCAACGGTGGTTTAAAAAAAAAGCCTAGCCCTTCTCCCTTATGAGGCTGTCAAGAGAGAGAAGGCAGGGATAAACACCCAGAACAAAATACTCAAAGTTATTTCTCTCTTCCCCCTCTCCACCTCTGCTCTCACAGCAGTCAGGAAAGGATGTGGCCAACGAGGGCCTGCTGAATTGTGCGAAGCTTACTATCAGGCTATCACTTGTCGCTTCCTAGGTTTCTTAAGCTTTTTACAGCTTGAACTAAAAAGTTGATGACTAAATTCACTCACCCAAGAAGCAAAGCAATTTTAGCTGTGCCAACCTGAGCTAACGTTTGGTAATTTTAATCCTCACACTTCAATTAACAGATGGACGCATCACATTCATCCATAAACAAAAAGGAAGAAAGTAATTTCTTTAATGTACACCTGGGAAAGACAAGTGTGATCTGGATTTGCACATTCGAACATAATGCGACTTAATTATTAGAGCAATTTAAAGCTACTAAGAACATGATGGGTAGTTGAGAAGTTGCTTCATTTATAGTTGTGTGTTTTTTTAAATCAGTGTTCCATATTCTTTCAAGGACTGAAATTGTGGCATTTGCAGCGTTTTGTTAATTATAAAGGCGCTCACCAATTTCAGCTAACCTGGCAGAGCCAGGAGGTTAATATATATATTTTTCACATTACCTAGAAAAATAAGAATCAATGAATTTTCTTTAAAAACAAAACAAAATGAAAATTAACTATCCTGGTATCTCAATTAAAAAAATGCTCAGGCCCGGCTGGGCGTGGCTCAGTGGTTGAGCGTCAACCTAGGATCCAGGCAATTGGGGTTTGATTCCCGGTCAGGGCACATGCCCCGGTTGCGGGCTTGATCAATGACTCTCTCATCATTGATGTTTCTATCTCTCTCTCCCTCTCCTTTCCTCTCTCTGAAATCAATAAAGATATATTTAAAATAAATAAATAAATAAGTAAATGCTCAGTACTGTTCTGAGAAAAGGTTCGGGGTTCCATCCATATTAAGATCTTTTTATCAAGACAATATATGAACAAAGACTACTGAGAATAAAATCTAGGGTTCTGTCCATGCTAACATCGTTTAACTTTATGATATGTAGATAAAGATTACTAGAAATGGAATGAACTATCTGAATAAATCTAAAACCCTCAATAAAGAAACTAACATTAAGATGTTAAAACAAAACTTTGCTCCAAAAATGGTATTAGATAAACTTCCTGCTTGTCTCTCCCAACCTGCAAACTCTTGAAGTGACTGTGGAAACCAATGAACAAAAGCATTTTTATGGACACATATATAAACTTCCCTTCTTGAAAGGTAGGAAAAAGAAAAAGGTCAAAGCCAAGTCCACATCAGTCTTTGAAATAGTTCTATGCTTCTACTTTTTATTCTTGGTAAATTTATTTCTGTGTAACTAAATAAGTAATCTTACAATAGGCATGAACCCAACAAGTAAACAATACAGATGTACAAGGTCTAAAGAGAACTGCCTGCTAAACCCTTACATTCAGAGATCCATAAGTAATAGTTGGCCACATCAATAATTGAATTTTGATCAGATTTTGACAAAGCATGTTTGTATTCCTGGAAAAAGACAACCAATCCTATTGACTGGCAATTTGGTATACTTGAGGGTTAATTAAATAAGCAATGTGGCAAAGTAGCCAATATGCTATAAGGTGTAATTTTTCTATTGGATTAAACTTCAAAACTCAGCAATTTCACACTTGAGCCAACCAGTTAAGTCAACAAAGTCAGCTAACTTGGTACCTCCTATATAAATCCTAATGTCTTTTAGAAAGGTTTAAAAATCGAATCATGACTGAATTGACTTTGCAACTTATGATCTGTTAGGCTAAAGCTGTGGAATTAATTCAAGAATTATACATTACCAAGTACATAAAGGCGTTGGTTTTAAATGTTATTTTTGCATAAGTTTACTTACTGCCATATAAGCATTTGTTCCAACATACGTCTTGGCTATAGAATTCACCAGCTATGAGACAAAACAGTCTGTTAGAACAATATAAAGATAATGTGGAAATAAAATGGGCAATTATTCCTCATTTAACCTACAATCATCATTTCTATAAATCAACTAAAAATTATGTAAAAGGGAACAAATTTATCTACAAAGGCATTAAAAATGGTTAAATCTCTCTTTTCTTTTGAATGTGATTTCCATTTAAACAAGTACAGCATTACAGTTTACAGCAGATAACCTTAAACAATTCACTTAAGCAGAATGCTTATTGCTTTAGTACCCCAAACCCGCCTGATATAAAAAGTCAATTTGAAGTAGAATTTGAATACACTCATTTTTTAGTCAAATGGCTCAAGATGTGAATGAAGCTCCATGCATTACTAGAATGAAAGGAACACTAAATACGCTGGAGGGATAACAGACTTTGACAACTCATAATACAACGATGACCTTCGCTTTGGTCTCCATGTTTAGCTGGGAGTAAAGGTGGCTGCAATTCAAATCAACATCACAGCACGCTCATGGGTCACTATCACCGGGGTTCTCAGGGGAGGCCCAAAATGGAAATTAATTAAAATTTGTGCTGCACATTGTAATGGCCCTCCACCATTGTTGCTCCCAATATTAATTTTTATTGTGGGCCAGTTGGGCTCCCCAGGCACAGCTCCCACTCTGCCCTCCCTTTTGTCTGGCCAAAACGCTTTCATATCAAAGCTGCATATCAATGAAGTTTGCTATTCGTAAGTAGTAATTACAATATCAGCAGTTTTTACTGTCATTAAACAATGAACAATCATATTCTGATGAAGGAAACTCGCTCGGAGATTAAAAATGAATAACACACTCCCAGCCGAGGAGAAAAAGCAGAGTTCTGTTTGTCTAGCGGCTAGGCAACTCTTCAGTCCAGACAGGAGGCGGGAAATAAAAAGTGCATGTTGCAGAGAGGAAAGCAGATGGGGAGGGAAAAGAGACCTACCTGAGTGCTAACTCCAAAATCACACAGCTTGACCTGCCCTCTGGTGTTTACTAGCATATTGGAGGGCTTCACATCTAAAAGGGATGAGAAAAGTCCATATAACTAATTCTATAAACAGTGCTTGTTCTAAAAAGAGGGCACACACACCGTACTGTATTGCAGAAACGACCTCTGTTCAACCTGAAATTCTGATCACAGATTTGATGCACGGCACTTCAGCTGGACGCAAATGATTGTGAGGTCCTAACTCCTCCACTGCCAACATTTCTGGTTTCTACAGAAGCAAGGGCTGATTTCAAGTGAAAGTCAAAAACCTTGGCTTCCAACAACAGTAAATACACCCATCATCCTATCCCCAGCCTTTTAGGAAAAGTAGGTAGATAAGACATTGTAATCTTGCAAAGAATTTGCACAAAAGGGCTTACTTTGCTCTCAGTATGAAACTATTTACTCTCATTTAATGAACAATAAGGCCAAAGGGAAGCCAACAAGGAAAAGAATTCGTATGTTGCTGATAACAGGTCAGGGCTGAACAAAAAATGAAAAACTATATGCAGTATTGCTTTTTTCTGGTTTTATGTGACAAATGCTCCGTCCGATGACACTCAGAAACCAATCTAACAGATGCATGTGTGTGCCTGTGTGCACTTATCAGTCTTTGTTTCATTTAGCCTTCTCTTTCCTTACATAATTTTTGACTGCTGTTATAGTTAACAAAAGAACTGACATAGCTTTTGCCAAGGCAGTCAGTTGCTAAATAACGACACAAAGGGTTTCTGTGAAGCATCGTCAGTGACAACAATGAGCCTTTTCAGGAATTCAGGGAGCCCACAAAAACCATCCAAGCAGGACAAGAGCACACTGCTCCTGACGGTACAGAACTGCACCTGCTTCAACCTTCCATCTTCTAAGGCAAAAGTGGTCAGGAACAGGCAACTTGTTATATTTAATATAGCATATAATTTTAACGACCCCAAAACTGAACATGGGACTCATCATCTTTAATATAACACTTATTAAAAAAATCTATAAATAAGTTAATCTCCTCCTGCCCCTACCCTGCCTGCATAAGGGTACTCCAACAAAGTATCCTGCCAAGAGTAGGCAGCTACTTAATTCAGACTTCAAGTTCAAACTCTGCAATTAACAATGACTCAACCCTACCTACTATGTGACAGGCAATAGGCTAGGTACTTTCTCATGCACCAGCTATTTAGTGTTGCCTGACTGACACTACAATGTAAATTCCACGAAGGCAGGGACTTTGTCTTTTTTATTCACTATTCTATTCCCAGCACCTAGAAGGGTGCCAGGCATAGAGTAAAGGCTTATTAAGTATTTGTTGAATGGAGGAGAAAATAAAGGAATGGAAACCATGAACACACGGTACGATTTCCTGATGATTCTGCTTCAGTGATCAGACGGTAGCTGTAGAACACGTTTCTGGAGCATGCCCTTCAGATGACACACATTGCATACTTCCTTTGAGGGGGAGGGTGTGTCTCTCTGAATACAAGTTGGTAGCCTATGCAGGTGTAAGCTCTTTTACTGCCTGTCCTTCTGCCTTTAGTCTCCCCAATTTCAGTATAAATCTTACACCATCAACATATTAAACACTACATCATTTCTCTCTTGAGGAGGAGATTAAATATTCTCTGGCACTCTCCCCCCAACCAAAATGTGAATGCCTTAAGAACAGGGTGATACCTTCAAATGTGCCCCAGTATTTAGCACAATACAAATAAATCAGAGAGAGCCAAAGGAGACACTCAACATTTGCTGAATTGAAAGAAATGTTAGCCTGGTCTTTTTTTCCAAACCTAATTCTCATTACAGGTCCTCAGCTTTGAGTATTTTTCTTTGGATAATTTGCTCTTTTATATATCGATACCCTTAAGCCACTCTTAAGCTACCACATCAGATGGAGACAGTAAATGAACAAATATGTTAAGCTCCTGGAAGGAGCTGTCTATAAATCATGAGATATGCTAAAATTAACAAACCTTTAGCTTTAATCAGACACATATTTGACTTAAGTGGATCAACAGAAAGAGAGAGAATAAAACCATAAAGCTGCTAGATTATACTGTAAAAGGCAAAGTGTAAATAAGAAACTTACTGGATTTTTCAGCTCTCCAACATCTTGTTTAACATACATGTATGACTTACACACATTCACTTCTCAGCCTAGTTTTCATGAATACTTTATGTATGAAAGTAGTAGTCACCCAGTTATCCTCAAACCAACCTTTGTATTCCGGCTAAACCATTAATCATTGTCTCAAGAAAACATCCCCAAACCCCATCACTAAGCCTCTGTTCATTCTACGTGTCCTGTTCCACCCCTCAGTCTTCATTCCAGGTTTAGAAACCCTTCCTCAACATTTTCTGACTAAAGCCTGCCCATTCCTCAACTCAGGTGCCCTGCCTCCCTGTTGCCCTAACTACTCAGGTCATCAAAATCACTGCTCCTTTGAACTGTGAAAGCATTTACTATTTACTGTCTGTACCATTTGTTTGAAACTGAGCACATGACATTTTTATTTTACTAGTAGCTACTTAACCATATTTACTGTTATAAGTATCACCTCCCCAAGTAATAATTTCACAGGTAGGAATATGCTTTATATGTCTTTGTATATATCCCTTCCAAGCACAGTATCTTGCTCACTAGTGGATGGTCTTTTAAACAATATGCTAAATTTGCAATATTAAGTATCCCCCTCCCCACCAACATCTTGAGACATCATTTGAACATAATAACAGACACCTTTAAACAAAACCAAAGGATTCAGAGGAGGAGAAAAGAACTGGGCTTTAGTTCTTTTGGGGCTCTGCCGCAAACTTGGCATGTGATGGTTTAGTATCCATCTCGGTAGGGAGATAAGAGCCATGTGTCAATCTTAAAAAACTATGAGGATTAGATGAGATAATGTATAAAAATTGCTTTTTAAACTCTCAAATAGTCTATAATTTTAAGGCATTATTTTCTACTGGTAATCAACCAAGCTACAAAAGTGGTATATTTCATTATATTTAGAAAATTATTTCTATTGTTATTGTAGCAAAGTTAAAGCTCTATTTAGTAAAATACTAGCTAGATGAAAGCAATTTACAAAGCCCAGTATGAATTATAAAACCAATTTACTGTTTATGAGGAGGCATTTTGGCCAGACCGTATACACTCAGGCCTCAACAAGGCTACTAACTTGTCTCCCTATTTTTATGTTTGTTCTGCTATCATCTGAGTTGAACACAGCGGCTAATAATCTTTTCAAAACTTAAATCAGATGCCACTCCTCTCCCAACTCAATGCAAAATGCAAAGTCGTCATCATAATGTCTAAGGCCTTCTCTGAGCTGGCTACCTTGTGCTCTACTACCTTGTGCTCTCACCTTCCTCATTCCTCTCTGTGTCGGTTATGTTTTATCTCATTTGCCAGGCAGGCTCCTGCTTTGTGGCTCCATATCCCTGGAATACTCCACTCCCATGTATATGCATAGCTTGCTCCTTCACTCCTTTTAGGTTTCTGCTCAAATGTTACCTTCCCCAGCCACCCAGCATGAACAGCAGAACCTTCCCACCCCAAATACTTCTTTTCTCTCCCCCATTTCAATGTTCTTAACATTTAGCAGCAGCATCAGCACACTATACTATCTGCGTAAGTCAGTCTGTTGCCTCACAATGCTCCCCTCTTGAAGGGAAGCTCCATGAATGCAGAGACTTGATCTGTTTTGTTCTCTACTGTCTCTAGAATGATGCCTGGTGCAGACAAGAAACAAGATTTGTTGAGCAAATGGTGAATGAACAAATATCTACTAAATAGGTGGGCAAACATGCTCATCCAGAGAAGCATGAATTTGTCTGGAGGAGGAGCTGAATCTTTTCCATACTTAATGGCATATACTAATGAATAAATTTCACTACTAATGAATACATTTCCAAATGTTATTTTTCATTCTGAGAAGAATCCACAGATGCTGCGGAGAGAAACATGAGTAAGACCCTGCCTATTCTTCAGGAGAGTACAGGCCAAGGTATATTCTCTGACCAAAAATACTGCATATGAGATATTTCAGGATAACAATACTGCTTTTATATACTCTAAATGGGCTTTTCTTCCTGAACAGTTAGCACACTTCATAACAGACAATGAGAATTATGTACATAAATACCTCTGAAGGCTGGCTGTGCATTAAAAAAACAGACAACTTTTGGGGTTCCACCACAGATCGACTAAATCAGAAACCAATTGCAGACAGCCTGGTCTTCAGGACAGTATTTAGAAAAGAGCAATATAACCTGATGAATTTCCCTTTGATTTAACTGCTAGGAAGTTCAGACTATCTGAAGAAAATTTATTCTCTTGCTTTCCTTTAATTTAAAAAAATGAACTGTATTCATTTTAAAAGATGAATTTTATTGCAATCATTTTGCATGCACAATTTGATGAGTCTGACAAGTGCACACCACAATCAAGACATGAAACATTTCTATCACCCCCCCAAAGTTCCCTGGGTCCCTTTACCACTCTGACCTCTGGCAACCACTGATTGGTTTTTGTTATAGGTTAGTTTTGCCTTTTCTACATATATTATGCACTTCATAATAGGTTGTTATAAGCTTTGCTTTAAAAAGTCTGGACTAGGGTTTGGATGGTATACCTCTGTCAATATTTAAAGTGGGAGTCTTGCAGGTGGTAGAATTGGGTCTTGTTTTTAATTTTTAATCCTCACCTGAGGATATTTTTTCCATTGCTTTTCAGAGAGAGTGGAGGGAAGAGAGAACAAGAAAGAAAGAAAGAGAGAGAGGGAGAAAGAAACATCGATGTGAGAGAGATACATCAATTGGGGCCTGCAACCGAGGTATGTGGCCTTGGCTGGGAATTGAACCCAAGACCCTTTGGTGCACAGGCCGATGCTCTAACCACTGCGAACACTGGCCAGGGCTTTTTTTTTTTTTTTTTTTTAAACCCTAACCCAAGGATATGTTTTATTGCTTTTTTTTTTTTTTT